CTTCAGTTGAGGCGGGCACTGCTGCCCTTAAAGCGTCCGATTTCAAAAATGAAAAATACGTTTCATTAAACAATTTAAGCAAAATATTTTAACCCATTTGCATTGAAACGTTCGGACCAACAGATAAGCACACATCATTATTTATTAACGAATTAACAAGAAAAATAGTTAATATAACGGGTGATCCTAACGAAGGCAATTATTTAAAACAAACTCTTTCACTTTTATTACAAAAATTTAATTCCTTTTGCATTCTGGATGGAGCTGCTAGATACTTGACTGTGCGAGACCAGGGACATAGATAAAAGTTGAACTCGGAAACGATTGCATGCCTAACCATGGCTTGTTCATCAAAACGGGTTCATACATACATACATACGAAACGAAACGAAACGAAGTTTTATTTGCTCCTCAAAATTACAGATTATAAATAAGAGACAGGATGAATGAGATCGAGCCCCTAATGGGCTCATCTAGCACAGCCACCTAGACAAATATGTTCAGAGTTTTGTGGTTAATATCAAATATTGTTAGTTGTTAGTATGTTAATAACAGATAATAAAACAAAAGGTAGTTAACTAAAAAATAATGTTTTATAAATAATTATAATCGCATTAAAAATATCAACAGAAATTGTTTATAGATGGAGAACATAAATTTCATAATGTAAATACATTTCTTATATAATTTATTAAATTATTAATCATAGAATTAAATTAAATAAAACCATTCTTAATAATGTTATTCCAGGTCCTAGGACATTAAATGTTTAGTGATTTTATAAACATCTCTACATCATTAATAAGGATAATAATTTTAATAATTGTTAATTATTAAAAACGATTTAACTTTTTTTTAAAAATCAGTAGCCGATTTCGCCTTATATTGAAAACCATTCTTAATAATGTTATTCCAGGTCCTAGGACCCTTACAGATTACATGCGAATGTAAAATGTTAGTTTTTGATTTATTCGATTGCAAATAATTAGATATCCTATCACTGTTAGCATGTTTAAAATAATTAGCAAACGTATTAGGCAATTGATTATTAAGCTGCTATACACAAAAATAAAAGTACGATAACTATCAATGA